CCATCTTCCACTTCGGGTCTCCATCGAGCCGCCGTTCTCGTACCTGCCGCATGACTCCTCGAATTCGTCGTCGCCGTGCCTTCCCCTCCTCCTCTCAGCTCGGATCATTGGAGTCATGATCTGTTCAATATGGGGCTTACCTATCAGTCCCAACCTCCCTACCCGTCTTTCCTAGTGTTCCTCTTTGGTTTTGTAAGAGAGAGGAACGAGGAAAAAGAAGCGAAGAAGAAAAAATCACTGGAAAATCTCAAACTTACTAACTTTATAAAGATTTTTTTGGTACCTCATGGTGATGAATCGGGAAGTGTCAAGACGCTGACGATGATATCTCGTTCCCATGTCCATTGTATGATGTGGGCGTTTGTTTGTGGGGTTGTTCCATGCCTAAAATTGAGTACGCTGTTCCTTTGCCGAAGTCAATCCTTCTGGTGCCATATCCGTTCCGACGATCTTCGCCCTGCCGACTTCTCGGACTAAGATTTTGCCGAAGATCAATCATGCAGCAGTTGCGATGACGGTTTCGAGTGCAACCAAAGAATTTTTGTTCCCGGTCCAGCAGCGTTTCAGTGGACGAGCGACTTCGCTTAGCTGTCGTCGCTAGGACTCGATTTGGGTAATTAAATTTTTGAATAATTTTACAGAATAAAGAAGCGATTGCAGAATACCGGCAAAAGAATACAGGTAGCAGCTGAATAAGCCAAAAGGCTTTGTAGAAGGGATGGCTGAAGCTTGAGTGCTGCTTTATTTACGTTTCCATGAAAGGAGCTACAGATGAAACTCACAGATAAGGCAGAATCAGTGCCTTGATCTGGAAACATTTTGCACTTTTGTTACAGATCAGTCAGATGATAAGGTTTAGAGCAGCTTGAGGTAAGTCATCTCTAAGAGAACAAAAATAGATAGATTTCAGATGGACGAATTTGTGATCCTTTAACCTGTCTCAGTCCCCTTTTTGAAACAGTCTAGTTAACAATAAAAAGCATTTAGATATGTACTTATCTCTGTCGAAGGTCTGCTGAAATATAGCTGCTAAGGGTAACCAGGTGGAATCCTTCATGCATGTGCACCCATTGGGCAGGCTACGTTCCCGTCATTTCCAGAAACATTTTCGAAAGGACAAACAAAAATGTAGACAATCCCAGGGAATCTTAGAATGCCATTTCGGAGAGACGGAAACGTCATCTGATAGATTCTGTCTTGAGGCGATGCCACTAGGTTGGAGAAATCAGGTTTACAAAAGGGTATGATGATTGTAAAGACCTGGATTGGGCCAAACATCACGGTCGGGCCAAAACCGTTTTCCGATGGGCCTTTCCCTGGGTCATGATCGCTCACTTATTCATTTAAAAGAATAAGCTCTAATTTCTTCATCAAACGAATACAGTCAGGGTTGAGTGAAGTGTGAAGGAAGTGCACAGGAACACGATTTGTAATTAAAGCCCATTCCTAGGAATAGTCCATTTGTACGAGTCCTAGATAAACAGATTTGTCATACCATTATCGGCATGATTCTGTACGAAAACCGATAACTCGTCCGTAAGGAACCTTTTCCAGTGAATTTGCTACCAACTGGCGAAAGTATTTAACAACCTTCCAACATGATAGACTGAGTTAACATTTTGTGACGTGTAAAAACCAGTAATTGTGAAATCCTTCTCTCTTTGTTGTAATGTAATGTCATGTTGTTTGATCTTTTGACGATGAATGGGCAATGCAGAAAATCTGCAAAGTATCATGTCCCATAGGTCAACAGGTACATGCAGCATTTTGTTCAAACAAAAAAAGGTTGGAGCGCTGCCCGCTTAAAGAAAAAACTAGTTCCCCATGGTTTTATCCGTGGTTCCAGAAGTACTTTGGAGTGAGGCGAGGTGGGGTTTTTTCATGACAAAGAAGTTCTCGACATGTTCCACACGTTCAATCTTAAGTGATCGTTGGCCACACCAACAGCGATACAAATATTTTGACAGCTGCTCCTCTCAAAATTTGAACTCTGATGTTCACAATTTTGCAGATGAAGGGCCATGGCTACGTAGAGAAATTGAAGAAAAATTCCCGTGAAAGCTGTAGTGGGTGAGAGTTGAACTTTCACTTGGCTCACCCACCGCGGGATCCCTTCCCCCAAAAACTTTGCCAAAAAAGCTGTATTCCTTGACTAGGAAACGTTCCTAATTTAAGCTCCTCTATGTGCTCGCGGAGTAGCCCACCATTCCTTCTCTGCGCAGTAGCACCCCATGCTGAAGAAAAGTGGTGACTACACTATATCTCTGCGTTCGCTCTAGTGGCTGCTTTCATAGTCCGCGAGCGAGGGCGCGAGCCGGCCGGGANTGAACTTACCCATAAGAACAAGTGGTACATTCGTGTTACAGGGCTAGAACTTATTACTTTACACGTGTCATACAGTTAAAAGAGTACAGATGAAACTCAATTCAATACAATCTCGGACTCTTTACTGAACACGAATTTTTCAAAGTAAGGCTTAGATCAATGTGTGCAATACATATGGTTAAAACAAAACAGAACATTCACCCAACACTTTTCGCTAACGTTCAAAGGAGAATCGTTTTCGAGGTAAACATAAAAAAGGAAGAAAATCGGCGGTTCTGATTGTCGATATTTTCATGGAATACTTCGTTGTAATTGATACTAATTCGAATCTGACAATGACAATTCTTAAAGCGGAGTGGTTCGATTTAATGAAATGATGGTCAGCCATGGCTAGGTAGGGCCACCAAAACAGGAATGCAATCACTTGAATGGAGCATTTTTTTCTTCAAAAGATAATAAAGCCATTGATGCCTAGCCAAACAAACACCGTTAGCGAATGCAGTAAAGCGAGAAGTATGGGTTTCTGTTGACAAACAACGACAAATAACAAGAGCATCAAATGGGAATTCTGTTCAATAGATCATGACGATAAACCTTCATACAATGATAATGCATGCACAATAGACGGATCTGCTTTGGCCCCCTCCTTGAACTCTTCCAATGTGAGCTGTGCATCATTATTCTGAAATTTATTTGTTATTTATTTATTTATTAAAAGACATGTGAAACACATGTGAACGTGATAATATTGAAATATCATTTTAGTCGGTACGGTATTGGTAGTGAGCCATGATGTCTCTATTTACCTGGAAAATTTTGTTCTTGATTTAGTAGAGTTTCGGTAAAAATATTGTTGGGAAGGGGACACCCATCTTCTCTAACACTAGGAGCTAGAGCGCAGAGAAAGAGGGTAGCCGACTTTGCGGGCCTTAATGATGCCTTCCAAGCGGGGATAGCATGCTAGTTCGCTACCAATTGCACTTTGAAAAGGAATAAGTCAGTGGTCAACGGAATGCTCAATTCTTCCCCATCCCCGTGTGTGCCATACACACTGACTCGCTGTGGTCAAGCCTGTGCTTTTCGCCTCCTAGAGAAATCTGGAGCCAAAGCTTTCAGCCTCTTGGAGGAGTCTGAGGTCAATTATCCGACCCTGAAGCGATTCAAGGCCTGGTTAGTCCGGGTGGATAGAGATCCTAGTTTCAATCCCCTACAATGCGTGTGTGATACTGCTTCAATTGTCCCTAATGAACCTTTGCCTTTATTTTAGGATGAAGTTAGTTGACAAGCACATTTATTTGAATTTTTGGGATTACCTGGCTTTACATTTTGATTTTTGATGGGGCATCCATCGCCAAGTGCGGCCATGGTCACGGAATTTCACTTTTTCAAGAATTCTTGCTTATTGCCTGAGATCCTCCAATTTATAATCACTTTTAAAACCCAATAAAAAATAAAAACTCAGTAGAGTTAATCAAATGTTGCATGACATCCTATATTGGTAGGACAGCGCATAGAACATCTCAATGGAGCAATTAATTTCTGCTTCATTTTTTTTCGGATAGCATAAGTTTCTGTCATGTCATTGCCGAGCACCAACCTTATCCATCATTCGGAATATCCGATCGACTCGTTTTTCTGGTGTACTTTCTTCATCCGGTATTTTTACACTCGATCCAACCATTTTATATATGGAATCGACAATTGACAGCATCTCATCACGGGTAATAAAACCGTCATTGTCGAGATCATACAACTTGAATGCCCCTGAAATGTTGGAAGGCTATTCATGGACTAGCCCTTGACTGGAAATGATAAAAATGAAAGGATGAAAAAGAAGGAATGAACGTACAATGTAATTTCTCATCGAGATTCCCCCGTGACGTTATGGACAAGGCTCGAATGAATTCATGAAATTCGATCGCTCCATCCTGAATTAAATGGATTGTGATGGCCTGATTTCATGTAATCCACTTAGACGAGGGCCTAAGCCGGATTGAGCTCATCCGAGACCACAAGTCAGCTCATCAGTCAGTTATAGTGAGAACAGACCTTGTTCTCGTCGAATACCTTGAAAACGAACGAGGCAAAATCGGATGGATCACCTTGTGGGAAGAATTGTTTGTAGATCTTTTGGAATCCCTGGAAAGAATACAATTAAGGGAAATGACTACCAAGTTACCAGTTACTTTTTTACACTGCTTTGCCGCACTGGTTAATTATGGTAAATTTTTATTGACAACGTCGACCGAACAAAGCGGTCCTACCATGAAAAACTGTCAGTAGGGCAGTATACGGTATGAGGTATATGTTTATTTCTCGAAAAGACCGTATGTGTGAGGTTTTATTTGTTAATAATGATCTGGCAATCCAGGGAGTCCGTCGTTTTAAGCCATGGGATGACTGAGGGAGATCAAGAGTTCCGCTTAGTACAAAGCCCTCACTTCCGCTGGTCGTTCCCACTTCTTAATCCTCTTTTCTTCTTCTTCATTAGCTCCAATCATTCTTTTCATTCTCATTCTTCTCCTATCTCACTCATTCGATCACAACTGGCTTCAGGCAAGCTCCAGGCATGCTTACGTCGAGTCAGAGGTATCGGATTAGAATCCCGTGCACAAACACTTTCATTCTCACTCCCGATATCAGAGCTGTGTACACGTATAAACAACTAATTAGATATGGTAGAATATTACACGTATACATGTTTACTGAGTAGTACGATTTATGCTAAATCGGTGATGAAGACCCGCTATTGGTGCGTGACAGCAGTCCACCAATCACAGACGACCCTGGCTTTCTTCTTGTCCCCGGAACCTGGGACACCTTCCAAAGAGAAATATTGGCTTCTTGAGTTCTATTTTCGTTTTTATTACATTTTATCAGTATTGCCCGCTACTGGGTATTATTTCATTCACCAGACAAGCATTTTCTCTGCACTTATGCAAAAAGTATCTTCATTGGGTGGTAGCGTTGCATACAGAATGATAAAAAAATTGAAAAAAGCCAAGTTTAATGAGGGGATCGACCTTTGTGTTACTAGGAACCTTTGTTGTGGTAAAAAAAAAAGGTTAAAAAACATTCATTGTGGTAAAAAAATAGGTAAAAAAGAAGGTAAAGAAAAACTAAGTAAGAAAGCGAAAGGTAAAAAAAAAATAAAATATCGTGCCTTAACATAAACATGAATTTGAAAAGTATGTCCAAATTAATCCTCTACAACTATCCAAAAACCGATCAGTTCCTACCGTAATGATGGCTGCAATAGGTTCGCTCCCATTTTTGTATAAAACAATAATTTTTCAATGAAAAATTACAACAATTAATTATCACTCACAGCTTCAGTGAGCATGCCGTTGGGGCAATCTCGTACGAACCCCTTGTACCATTGCTTGATTTCTTTTTCGGTAACTGAAAAGATGACAATCGTAATTCGGTGAAACGATATTTTTGAAAATGATTTTATAAACCGGCCATTGTTCATTAAACTGTTACTATACAAGCTTATTAAAGTGTTTTCGCTGAAAAGAAGCGGTAGACAGCAGACGTTGTAATTGCACCGCTTGCCCCGCACTCTACAAGTTCGAAGACGGTGCTTTCCCAGGACTATTTTGCAGATAACTATTGACTGTTACTGACTATCTAGCAATTATAAAGGATAAAGCATAAATACTTTGAGTACTAATCAATCCCGTTTGAGGAATGCGCCCCCGCATTCAACATCTATTCGGAATCGTGGGGGAAATTTGAATGCGTATGTGGCCTATACAATGGGTTTGATGGCCAGCCGGCGTACATTTCAATGCTTTAGTCCTCTCAGACGGTTCTGGTACCTGTTAAACGATCCTGGAGGGATGGGAAGCCCTTGGTTGACCTAGTTGGACACGATCCAGGATTCGAGCCCGTGATCCTGCGTGTGTGATGCGCCACTTGCCACTACACCTGCCACAGTGCAATTATTATGTTTTAGATTTTTATTTAGAGAATGGTTCTTACAAATCAATCAACTAATGAAGGCCTGAAAGTAAAAGGTGTATGTAGATTGGGCATCTGAGCTGGCCTCACACGGGCAAAGCGGTTCCCTGACGACCGCGCGCTCGGTTTCTATCTAAAACGTCCGTTCGCCTCTTGCTCTGCTCCCTTATGGGAATGTCGTCTCGATCTAAGAGTTTCTAATGTTGACTAGGTTTCCATAAGGGGGCCAGGAGGTAGAAAACATTCCAAGGAGCGGATACTTCACAAGTTTTAATTTTGGACTTTCACACTCAGCTGTAGCCCTGGAATGCCACATAAGGACGCAAGCTCTCACTGAGTACCGTTGGATGAATTGAGGAACCATAATTTCTATATAGGGTAGCATGTGTGGCGCAACGGTTAGAAGCGGCATGATAGCACGGATTGGGGAACAGATCCAGCCTTTGCCGGTAGTTCTCGACCCTCGACCGAGGTGAGCTTTTTGGAACCGAAATCCTCGTAAAGGAACTCTGACAACGACGAAATACTACAGGCGTGAGCAATATAACATTCAAACTTTGTACTCCTTCATGAACGATTCCATTTTGAAAATTGAAAGCATGGCGCAATGTAAGGGGGAACAATCATGGGCAGGTGATGCACTTTCTTACTCTATGCTCGAATGCCTACGCCACAGCTACAATCCTCCGTGAGAAGTGATAGAAGCGGCTCCCTCGTCAATTTTTGAGGAAATGGGATTTCCCTGCACTATTGGTAGCCATCTTTAAAAGTGAATACAAACACGTACCAGCATTTCGTGAAATTGAAGTAAGAAGGCGGGAATGAGGCCAAAAGTGGGGCACCGCCAAGTGGTGCCGCTGGTGCCTCAATTGTCCACACATTAAATACCTAGTCAGATCTCATTTATCCCTTTGCGGCCGGGTTTTAGGATTATTTAATAAGTACCTGGTCTGCGAGGACATGGCCTGGCCGGCTGGCAGATTGTAATTATCGATCAGAATGGATATGCATCCAAAGAGCCATCAAGACTCCTGGGTTGAGGTAGATGCATGGCGCAACTCGAAGAAGAGGACTGACCATTTCCGAGCCATTTATTTTTTCTACTTGTCTCTTCAAGAACACCTCCAACAACCCCTCTGCTATGGTGCAATGAACGATTGGCCTAAGTTAATGGCATTCAATGCCTAGCGTCTGAAAACTCGCCTCCCCGTCATCGTACATATTCCTCGTTCATTACGCAATTGGGTCGATATCTTTGCTCTCACTACACGAGCACAATCTATCCAATTAACAAGTTTATTATAGTAGTAAACGAAAGTGCCGAAACTTTTGTAAACTCCACAAGTAACCAACATCCCGGAAAATGAAGAGAAAACCAGTGAACAAGAAAAACAGTGCAGGAGAGGGATTGCGGTGAATCAGATTTCAATCAACTTGTCATGTTTTGATACCCCGGATAGAGGGGATGATGGGAAGGGAAAGGATGAGTCATTGTACCGTAGCCATGGCAAGATACTGTAGTTTAACGTTTTCTGAATATCAGATATTTATACGAGCCGCGTGATGGAAATTATGTCCAGGAAGTAAGGAATATACTAGATACATGATATTAAATCTATTGCGAAGCAATAGATATAATATAGGCATGCATGGTGGCAATAAGCCGGGGCTTCCTGTAAGCCATGGGCCTAGGGATCTGTGATTGGTGATCACAGACCAAACACCAATCATGGGCTACCGGGGCACGCTCAAAAATCAATACCCGTGGCAGGAAGTAGCTTAGGCACGGATTCCTCCTGTCATTAATTGAGGGAAAGAGGTTCAAAAAACAACAACTTCTCATCAACATAGTATATGCGATTCTTGTACTCAGAAGTATCAAAAAATAATATTTTTTTATATAGAAAATACTCAAACTACAAATGGAACGGACTATTTTTTATGAACTTCACATGCCTTTCACTCGGAATTCAAGTAATTCATGCTTTCGAAATACTTAGACTAAGGATATTCTTTGCAAGAATTAATCTCGATAATTGATATTCGAGATTGATCCCCGTGATACTTGTTTGTACTACTTACTACATTCGCGAGCAGCGCTAAGTGGTTCTCATAAATATGCCCCGTGTGCGTGCTGAATCCATAGCTAATCTCTTCACTCCTTCAGCGAAAACGACGACGAAGACGACGCAACCAGAGCACATACGCGGCCATATGAGAGGAGTATATCAATAATACTAGTATCCGTCTACTAGTAATATAAGGCTTCATTATTGAAAACTTACAGTATGTTTGTTGAGCCAGTGATTTGAGCTGTTCTTGTTTCAGCTTACTGCCTGCTTTGCCCATTACCTGCTGACGAAATTCATTGAAATGAAGAAACTGTAAAAGAAGATACTAAATTGTAAATGTTACTCTCAAAAGTGTTAGCAAAGGAATGAACACGTTCAGCCATCAATCAGCGAAAGAAAAATTAAAGAAAAACGCCATCTTCACAAAGATTNCTGATGGAGCTAATAGAAGAGGAACTCGAACTGAGGAGCAAAATGTGTTACCGAGAAGTTGGCTAGGGCAATTCGGACTGGCCATAAAACAGAGACGAAGTGCCCATATGAATTTATGTAACGAGCGGTAAACAACATTTATTTAATGCGATTTTGAAAAAAAAAGCTTTTTACTAAAGCGATGTTTTGGAGGAGGCAAAGGAATGAAGAGGAAATCAGGATGTATTGAGGAGATTGACGAGTAAACACTTCAAGTGATAAGCCATGCCATGAGTCTAAATGTGAAAAAGGCGGCCGGTGTCATGGAAACGACATCCCGGAAATGAAACAGTGAAAGATGAGGGAATGACGGGAGGAAAAAGCTGTCAGAAAGGTCGGCCATGAGTGCATATCCGGGGCGGCCCGTCATAGTAGCCCCCCAGAGTCATCTGGACCAAGATCATGTGAACAACACATGGAATATACAAGTAAATACTACTAGTAGTGATAATTGTAAAGGAATTTATAAAGGCCGTATGAGTAAGAAAAACTTACTACATAACTATGCAAGTCAAGAGGCATCGATCTAGTAAATGTTGCCAAATGGCAATCCCATCTTGTTTTGATGAGCGCTCTTTCCTCTCCTCCGTTCGGAAAGCGGATTGTTTGGAGGAGGGAGAGAGTGGATTGCGTGTCAGGGAAAACTGTCTTCCCCCCCTCCCCCCACAGAGAGGAGACCGAGGGAAATCGCTTATCGTCGTTTCTACGAGATTCTGAAGAGGTTTTCGATCATGTAATAACAAATGAAGGCAATAAATCGCTTCTGAATCATCATGTTATTGTGAATATCCGAGACGAAAGACAAATAACAAATCGTCTGAATGAGAAAATGTTGCTGTTTCGAGTTAAGTGATGTAGTTTGCTGAACGATTAACATTTACCATGAAACAGCACGATGTAATCTCATTATCATTACTTTCAGACACATGGCGCATTGAGCATGGAGCGATTTCTAGGTATTTCTGGCTTACCAATTACGCCTTTTTCATTGCTATCTAATTAGGCTTATTTTGCACAGTATAGCCAGACATTGGGTAAAAAGGAATAATCAAGTACATTATTATATCTACAGTACCCCGCACGATTTTTGAGCCCATGCAAATCGAGTAGTAGTTCTATAGTGGCGCATTTGCCAACTCGCACTTATTGATTAGTGAGAGTCCGCCGCNCCGCTCACCTTAATCGCGTCGCGTTGCCGCCGCCTCTTTTCATTATTTGCGAGAAAAAATATTATTTAAATTAATTATTAAAAAACTAAATTATTTATTTGTGAGAAAAATTTCGAGTTTTTGAGAGAATTCCCATATAATAAAAAGAACAAAGCCAGTAAACAGAAAATACAAAAGTATTGGAGCAACTGCTGAGTCGCTAATGAGAAACAGAGGCTAAATATTGAAATAACAGCTTGCCAGAGATATTACTAGTACAGGCCATGGAGTACGAAATGACGAAAAAATTCAAATAGGGGATACATAAGAGGAATTGGATTTTTTCTCCTAAAATGGTTTCGAAAAGCCTAGAAATCTTTGCAAACAAGCATTTTTCCGTTGATCTGAAGAACAAACATGTTCCTTGTAGATTTGCTTTGCGAAATGAAGCTTTCCCACTTCACTGAGACATTTCCGCCTTCGATTTGGCAAACAATCCAAGTCTATGTAGATCGGCCGACAGAACTTGATGGGCTAAGATTAAAGACAGCTCGATCAGCTTAGATTGTCAGTTAGACCAGAATTTTGAAGGAAGGAAGTTCAGTTCATCAATTTCTTGACATCTCTGAAGACCAAGAAGTCGGATAAGGAACTCTGAAGACCGTACAGGACCTACTACTAAGAGGTTCCAGTCCCCACGATCACAAGTTTACTTTGTATCCCTTACATTTGAAGTTACAATTACAAAAAACAAACCCATCTCGGCTTAGCAGGAACACTTCGATGCAAGGGGACGGAGCTCAAAATGATGGAGGATT